AGCAGCTGGATGGGCTGACATTGAGTCAATATGGATTTAAATTTGGGCATTGGCAAGAACTTACTGACATTATGAGCCCCACCTATGATCATGGAGAACCAGTGAAATATTTGGAACTAGGGTAGGGTAGGGCTCAGTCCTATCTGGAGGCAGGGGGACAAGATGGATTTAGAAGGGCTTTTGTCCCAAGGACCTAGGGAAAACCAAGCAAATGAGGTGGACGTTGAACCATTCTCAGGGGAATAAAGAATTGTGGATGAACTTGCCTGCTTCTATGTAGATTTCAGTCACCGGCTGGAACTTATCGTCTTGCATCTGGGAAGATTTTCAGGAATAAACACTAGGCCATCTCCCTTTTGCTACCCTCTTCCCCCGCAAGCTCCCGGAGGACACTTCTTTTCCATATTCCCTGAAGCCACGGCCAGGGTCCCCTCCACCAGCTCCTAACCTCCACCATCCCTAGTCCTGGACCGGAAGACTGGTGGTATTGCCTGTCATTAGTTCTATAATCATCAAGTCTTGGAAGAGCAACCTGGTGTAGTTTCCAAAGGGAACTTGTCATCGAGGAGATGATTACAGCCACGTCTTCATTAATTAAGCCCCTGTTGCCATAGAGGAACTGGGCAGGCTAAAGGGGGGAGGGGGGGAGACTTATTCAATCAATCCCATCTCTCTGGGCGGGTGCAGCGCGAACAAGCGGCAGTGGCAGATGAACCCAGAGTTCCTTTAACCCCTGTAGCTCCAGGCTCCTCCCCAGACATCGGAGGAGCGTTTTTTCTGTCTGACAGAGTGCCACGGGCCGGCCGAGGTGGAAGAGGTGGAGAGGACGTCTGCTTCTTGCAGTTAAAAGAGCTGGCAAGAGTTTCTGCCATGCAGACTGGAATGCAGCTTCTATTCCTACCACCCTCCTGCCTGTCTCTGTGTCATTAGCTCATCGAGGTCCAGCCGCCTGGAAGTTGTACACCTGCTCTGTGTGTGTGTGTGTGTGTGTGTGTGTGTGTGTGTGTGTGTATGTCTAATTCAGCGTTTTTTTCCTTGGGGACTTGAACTGGGATGGTTATATCCTCTTTTCTCTTGGTGTGCCTCCTGCATACCTCTAACCTTCAGGCATTTAAGCAGAATGCTGAAAAATCATCAGGCCCAATAGAATACCCTCGGGCACCCCTTTTCTCCACCCAGGGAAAGCACCCCTCCCTGCTCCCCCACAAGAGGTGGGAGCTGGGAAGGTGGGGTACGATCAGCAGAATCCATGTGGCCCTGCCATGGCCCTGGGATGCGACCGTGGACCAGGGAGTGTGGCCTGAGGACTTACCTCCCGGAGGGATGTTAGGCTCAGGGGGCCAGTGAAATTAAGATTGCCGGCTTGGGTACAGAGCTGCCCAGGAAGATGTTGAAGTTTCGGGCTGATCGAAGAGTCAGGTAGGGCTTGCCTTATCTCCCTCCCTATACTTTGCGTGAGGGAGGGCCGGAGATGAGGAAAGCTGAGGGGGGCTGGGCTGACCCAGGTGGCAACCCAGCCCATTTGGGTCCTAAGAAAGGGGGGTTGGGGGGACCTGTATGGGCTGAAGGGAGAAAGAGAATAGCAGTTAGATCAATGGTTGCTGCATTGCAGTGTTTGTGAAGGAGAAACTTCATCTAGAATCAGTGTAGCTGGGACAGGGGAGAGGACGTAACTTGGGAAAGTTGGTAGGTGGGAAAGTCAGGGGGAGGAAGAGAATTGCCCTTCCCTGAATGGCTCTGGAAGAATGGAGGAGAGATTGTGTGTGTGTGTGTGTGTGTGTGTGTGTGTGTGTGTGTGTGTGTGT